TGGATCTACTTTAGTTAGAGATAAATTACTTGTAATTTTGAATAACTTGATCCCAAATAAACAAGAGCAGGATTGCCAAATTATAAAAAAAAACTTTGATTGAAGATATCTTGACAACTATTTGATCAAAATTGATAATTTTTTTTTATTTAAATTCTACAGATCTGTAGAATTAAAATAAAAAAAAGTTTATCAATTTTGATCAAGTGGTTGTCAAGATACTTCAATTAAAGTTTTGGTACAAATATTAGTACAGCTATATAGTATTATTAAGTAATATAGACATTTTAAATTTTCTAAAACTTTGATTAAAGATATCTCAGCAACCACTTGATCAAAATCAACTTTTTTTTATTTGAATTCTACAAATCTGTAAAATTCAAATAAAAAAATTCATTAATTTTGGTCAAGTGATTGCCAAATATTTTTAATTAAAGTTTTGATATAAATATCAATACAGCTATAGTATTATTAATAGATAATTCTCTAGTAAACTGAAGAATAATTATAGTATAATGTAACATAGTTCTATATATAAATTACTATAGATACAAAAGAAAAAATTTTCTAATAATGGTTTAAAGAAAACTTTTTATACTAAGTTAATTACCTTTGAGTCTTTAAATAAAGTTATAAAGCTTATCAAGATGAATTTAATAATAGTTAATTGCCAATTCAGATAAAATCAGCACTATAGCTATATTATTACTATATTTGAAATTGGAAATAAACAAATAAGTAAACAATATATTAGTAAATCTGATATTAACCCTTATGAAAAGTTTTTTTATACTAAGTAAATATTATTATTTGTCTTTAAATAAAGTTATATAGCAGGTTCTTACAGTCTTATTGATAAAAAAATTATTAAAATTAGACTAGTAGATAAGAAGATATAAGCACAAATGTCTTTAAAAATCTTTAAAACATATAAGAATTTTATATATACAGGTTTAATTTAGATTTAATAATCTATTGTTTATATATTTGTTTTACCCTAATTTCAAATATAGAAATTGTGTTGATCTTATCTGGATTAGCAATTAAATTATCAAAATTGGTCTAGTAGATGCCAAATATCTTTAAAAACATTTCACTGTTTATATAAAATTCTTTAAAAACAATATAAAGAATTTTTATATAGTTGATGAAAAATTTTTAAAGATATCTTAGCAGCTACTAGACCATTTAGATAATTTAACTACCACTTGATTTGTTTCGATGAGTTCTATAACTTTACTTAAAGACTAAAGGTGATTAACTTAATATGAAAAAGGTTTTTCTTAAACAATCATTAGAAAATTTACATATAAAACTGCATTATGTTACACTATAATCATTCTTCATTTCATTAAAAAATCATCAATTAAGTGATTTAGATATTTTAAATTTTCAAAACTTTAATCAAAGTTATCTCAACAACCACTTGACCAGAATTAATGAATATTTTTATATTTAAATTCTACAGATCTGTAGAATTTAAATACAAAAAGGTTGAACGTTAGTATAGGTGGGTATATATAATTATTATATAATTATAATATATATAACTTAATTATTTGAACTAATTTAAGTAATTTATAAATTATTAGGGTCAGAATTAAGGTTAGGGTTTATATTGGCTCAAATTAGTTAAGTTTTATATTTTATAATCTTGTAATAATTTATATATGCCCACCTATACTAAAGAAAATCCTAAAAAAGTTTATTGATTTTGATCAAATAGTTGCTAAGATATCTTTGATTAAAGTTTTGATATTATCTCGAAATAAAAGCTCTTGGGTAATTTAAATCCAAGGAACTAGAATAATTAAAATCTGTTTGGCAAGACCTGAGTAAAGAGGTAGTAAAGATCTTTAACAATACTGCAGAAAAGCTAAAAACTGGAAATTAAAGAACCAGATAAAAACTTTGGAATAAGAAGAATCTACCAACTTGGCTACCAGAGTTGTACCAAAGGAAAGGTTTTATACTATAGAATTAAGAACCAAGGGAAGTAAAACTAGAAAGTACTTAAAGCCTAGATATAATGTTCTGAGTTGGTAAATATTTTACCAATCAATTAATTGCCAATTATAATTACAACTAATCGATTGTTTATATCATGTGGCATCATCAGATGATTTGCTAATTAAATTAAAGGAATTAATTCAGATCTGCCTAACTAGACAGAATTTTTCAGAATTGTACTAATTGAATGATTAATCGATTAGTTGTTTAAAATTTTTTCAAATCAACTAGTTGAAAAGTTGACAACTAGTTGATTTTTTAACTAACGATTTGGAACACTACCTAGATACAATAATCTATTTGGGCTAACTAGTTTAGTAATTGGAGAAGGATCAGTATAAAGACCAGTTTAATAGAGGTATTGGGATCGAAACGAACCTTATAAAGGCACCGAATATCAGAATTGTGCAGTTTAATAGTTAGCACTGACTGCTAATGGTGATTTCAACTACTGCAGAAGATATTCAAAGCTTAATCTGAAATGCGTGGGGCATAAAATGATTAGGAGGTAGGTACTACACCCTCTTTAGAGCAACCCAGTAGTAAAAGAACTCTACTGGGTTATCTATAGAATTAGGGTACAAGTAGTATAGCAGATGTCAATCTGAGTGGTCTTTAATAAGAAGCAGCACAAGGTTATATACTGGCGTGATTGTGGTGGGTGGTACAGGCTGGGAGACATCAGAGATAAATGGGTAATTTCCTAGTTGGCTTACAGATACGGTATTTAGTGTATAATCTTCAGGCGGACTACTTAAATAGGTGTCGTATGTGTGGCTAATTGTACTCTCATTAACCAAAAATGTACTACCTAAAATACCTAATAAAAATCCGCCTTCACACAACATTGCAAAGGTTAAAAAAAAAAAAAAAAAAAAAAAAAAAAATCTTCATATCTAATATATATTAAAAATAGAAACTCAAACACAATGTTAAAATATCAACATAATTATCTGCAGCCTAAACTGACTAGAGAACTATAGCTGGGTCTAAGAGCTAGTTTTGATTGATTATAATAATTGAGCATCATTACAATCATTTTTAGGTTGGGATTGGTCCAAAAAAAAGACCAGTTCGGACCGGTCTTTGGACTGGGACTGGAGGTATTTTAGTCCCGATCTTAGACCAGTCCAAACTAATTAATTAATAGCAGGAACTGTAAAATACAAACTTTACAAGAATGATTTCAATAATTAGCAAATAGCCGACGAAAGCATGACAAATAGGTTGGATCGGTCCTTGCAAAGACCAGTCCGGACCAAAATCTCAACTGATCAAAATTGTTCATAGCCTGTTGTGATCATTTTATATGATATTCAAATAATTGAAAGCCATCATAACTTCGGCATTTGAAAGACTGTTCTTAAGACCGAAGGACCAGACCAGACCGGGCCAAATATCACTAATTGATCAGTCCTATTAGGACCGGGACCGACCGAACCGGACCTGTCCAACCTTAATTACATCATAATAAAAGATTTATGCAAATATATGCTAATAACATCAAGGTTGATGCTTGAGAGCACCACAAATTAAGGCGAGTGAAATGATTTAAAGGGATTAGGTAACTATAAATGAGTATTTATAAAATGATTTGCTTTTAGCACTGTCAGGATTTTAGCGCTAAGGTTTTGGTAGTATGAAGAATTTGTTATCGGGTCTATAGGTTTTGGAGTTTATTATCGTTTGGCTTAATGGAATTCAGGTGGTTTATGGAATTCAGCTGTAATAAATCCGCATTATACAAATATAAAACCTGAATTTATACAGCACTTATGTGGTCAATATACGGCATACGGCATTTATATTACGTTCGTACGTACGTACGTACTTACGACATTTATACGACATGCGGCACTACTACTACTTATACGGCAAAATGTCCGTATCGCTGTAATATTTTTGCCGGGTAGTTACCCCCAAGATTTTAATGTCGGCATCATTAGTGCCTATCTAATGAAAACCAAGAAGTCTAAATATAGATAACCATAAAATAATAGACTTTCAGGTTTCATTTGAGTCACTCATTTTTTCTCGTAGAAATATAGTTCATAATGCTAGTCAAAATATTTGTTTACTTTTCAGCCTATAATTTCAAGGAAATATACCAAAGAATAGTATTACATTCCGTTGATTTTAAGTAGATAAATACTTATCGATATCATCACTGTCTATTTGTATAATCCACAAAAGAGGAATTTGTAATACTAACAAAACTCCTGGATATATTGACTTTATTCGTATTAATTTATATAATTTAAGTATTAAACTTTATTAGCAACCTTAGTAAAAAGCCAGTTTGGGGAAATGTCATACTGTCTTACATTGGGTAATTGATTAATAACAGTTTTAATAACAGTTTTTTGTATTATATCATTATGCTTAAGATGATGATGTAATAACAATTCATCCAAACCCAATAATACCTTGGTTATAATTACAATAATGGCTGGTATGTCAACAAAATCCTCCGTTTCGGATAAATGTAATCTCTTTAATTTCGGCCATAAAAGGTCTGGAGCTTTATAAGGGAAACATAATAAAAATCTACACATATCTAATTCTAAAGAATTTAAATTAACAAGTTTCCCTAACGCATCTAGTCCCTTATTTGTAAGGTTAGTTCGATAAAGTCTGAGTGTAGACAAAGTTGAGGCTTGAGTACCGAAGCTTTCTAACAACATTGTTATGTTGGCACCAGAATCGGAAAGTTTGATATGTTGTATCCCTCCAGTTTGGTGTTTAATAAGGAGTGCCAAATCAACAACATCGGAATCACGTTGAGGGTGGTAAATATGCAAACTTTCTAAATTACGAGATCTTGAAAGAGTTTGATAAAAATTCTCTGGAACCCAAGTATCACAAGTTAATTCAGTGACTGTAATTAAAGATTCATAGTTTGTTTGCATTGGACTCAACATGGTAGACAAATGTGGATAGCCATGTCTTGTTGAGAGATCTAGAGTACGCAAGTTTCGGCTTGAGCTGATGAGAAATGAAATCAACGTGGAGAAGATGGATTGAACTTGAATGCGAGTTTCCTTGGTTAAAGTTCCACCTTCTGAACGCAATTCCAACGAACGACATGTTTTCGGGTTTTTCGAAACTGGTTTAATCTGATGTCGACTCTCAAACCATACAATAACGTAACTCAAAAGTTGTTCATATTGGAGCTCCTTGATCCATTCCGCATATTTATAACATGTATGTCCTTTCAGCCATGGCTTAATAGCTGATACATCCTTCACTAGTGAGTTTTTTATTTCGGTAGGAAGACTTTTGATCAATGTTTCTACCAGTTTAATTGGATTACGAGCAATTGTAAATGGTGATTGCCATAAAAACGGTAGCGCCGCAAAGGCCCATGAATGATTTACATATATACAGTTGTTTGGAAAGTCTATATCTTTAAATATTTGAGTTAATGTTTCATTTGGCAAAACTTTTGCACTCCATCCTAATTTTAGTTGAACATCTCTGCTAAATAAAATACGAGATAAGAACTTTAAGTTTGTATTTAAAAAAAAAAAAATCTAGATTTCTAACGTTATATCTTGAATAATCACCCCCTTAATAAATATTTTCCTTGTTTATTCATAACTTGAAATTTTTAGCCGAGTTATCAGAAAAAGTAGAAAACGAAAAGGTATCCCATGCCTAGCAGATTAAAAAGGTAACAAAGTTTTAATGACATAGAAACCAAGAATAATGATCGTTTTTAATTAATCCGATAAATAAAAAATGAGATCAATTCGAACATTACTCACACTTCCTACTGATGCTGTATTACGATAAAATGAATGATTTTTTCCCAAAGTTGTTGAAGTAAAAACTAATATGTTTAATAAGTCATCGATATTTAATCATAAGCATAAAATATAATAATAATATTAATTATTATAAAATTTTAATAAAAAATTGAGAATAAATCAATAAGATATTTTATTTCAATACCTTTATAAAATAAATCGTTAAAATGGGTAAAAAATAACACTTCAATTATGAATTCACAGACCGCTCAATGAAAATTGGACGATTTAGTAATTATTTCGGAACGATTTTTTTGATCGCTCCGTTTATTTATATAAAGATTTGCGAAAAATTAGCCAACAAGTTTATCCAATACATAAGTTACTGGATATTAATCATTTATTTATACATAGGTTTTGTTTTCAGGAAAATCTAACGGGTACCTTACGTACGTTTATGCACTACCGCTACGTAAACTTTTTTCTTTACTCAAGTATAATAACGATAATATTGGCGGAATCCGTCTGATAAATATATGGGAAAATCATCAAATTTTATTGGATTCAGGTCGGCTATCAGATATGACAGATCCGCAAATAATAAAGTTACGATTGAAAATGTTCCTAATTGGGTTCATTTTTACTTACATTTAGCGTTAGGTTTCTTTATAGTTATAGCATGTGACTCTAATCGCAATTGTCCCTATTATTATGATGTAAATATATAACAATAACGTAACCATTTGCTCACCAGTTTACGTATCTTTATCTTATGCGAGTAGGTAGATTTCTTTTTTGAATTTTATTATAAAACAATATGTCGTAGTTTTGGTACGATTTTAGTAAGATGATTAGTGTTCTGAATTAAAAAACATTACTCATTTTCAGTTTGTATATCTATTTTTGTATCATTAGCATTAGGATAGGGAGTGCATTTGGCTCGGAATCACAAGGCGGTAGATTATTTATTGTGAGCTACTGGACTAGAGATCGCATTTTTAACCATACCATGCTGCATGGTGCACGTAATTATCATGGTTATATGATCCGCATTCAGCAATTCGAAATAATCATGAAACTCCGAACTTAACACACTATGTGAACACTATTCTCACACTATGCGCACGCATGTATGCGCATGGTGTCCATCTTTACACTGGACTTTCTACTTGAATAATCCGACAATCTACCAATTTGCTCTTTGCCCATCAAACTACCTTTTGCATTCCAATAAAAATAATTTCTCGTGTAAAACTTTACTGTATGCTATGTTCCTTTTAATTTTATCTTGATCTTGGTTAATTTCAATTGAACCAATGGTCGTTATTATTAGTGTTAATTCGATTATTTTTTCATTTAATATTAACATAGAAAAATTTTGTAATTTTTGCAATACATATTATATTAGGTTTTATATACTGTATTTTTTAATCTATTTCTTTAGCTAAAATTTTTATACTAACAATAATATTTATATTTATATAATATTATAAGTTTATACTTAATATAAGAATTTAAAAAACTAC